ATTACGAAACAGTTTTGCTATGTCTGAAAATGGGTGAGAATATTTTTCAATTGCTTTATTACTGATAAAAACCTAGTATCCGAAACTAACACTTCGATATCAATGCCATTTACGAAATTTCCAAATAACACTCAAATTTGATACCCAAACCCAATAAAAGACATGCAAACCAACTTATCCCCCTGTAGGAAATTTTTAGTTTAACCAAGATAGATTGAGAAAATGAATTTTTGAGGTCAAAATTAATGGCTAGTTCTTGTGATATTAAAATCATCTGGTTGTGTTCAGCATATCATTAAACGATAACACGTTTTAAAAAAAGTAACCAAGAGACTAACTTGCTCTAACGACAGTCATTTCTAGTGCATTGTTAGTGAAGGATAGTAATTACATATTAGGTTATGTCAGACAAATAATAAAGCGAAATATTACCAAATAAAATAAAAACCGATATTATTAGACCTTTTGCGTGTTTGTTTGCAGGTACATTCTAAAACCTGCCTTACTGCGAATACCGACTATAAATCGTTATCACCGTAAACTAATTACCAGACGTAAATATCAGAAACTATTTTCAAAATCTGATCCTAATTCAAATAATATGAGAAATCAACTTAGCAGTTATTTAAGATGTGCTTGCTGTTATGATCCATTGGATATGAGTTCGGAATGCGAATTAATTGGTAAAATTTATGATGGAATAACAAATTTGAACTGGCCAATAACTTCAAGCCAAGAAGCTAACTTTTACCTACCATGGAATTATACTTTGCAGTTGATCAACTTTATGAAAATTCACAGTTTGCATCCTGAAAGGTCACTGTTAAACAGACAAGAAAGCATGGAAACTCAGTCTTATCAATATAATACCGTGAAACCAAATAAACTGCCTAAACGGTACCGACGTGCAGCTAATGTAACAAACACAACGCCGAAACGTCAAAGGCATGCAAGTGCCAGTAGAGCAGCAGTAGTATGTAATGGTGCCTGTCTCAGAAATTTTCAGTCAACTCCTATAAAAGCTAATTCTTGGGGTTTAACTCAAGTTAGACACCAAAGCCAAGAAAATGTTAATTTGAAAAATAGAAATATTGATTTTCACGAACGACGCCGACTAAATCCATTTAAAAGGAATTATGAGAACATAATAATCGAGGTAAGTCTCTATGAACTGGTTGAGATTTTTACGTTGCAACTTAACATCCAGTGGTATTAATAAATAATTGGTTACTTTTTTGACACTGATACTTTTTGGAGTCATGTAAAAGGGTATTCAAAATTTTATTGAGGACAAAACGCGTTTTTGATTGAATAAATCCCGTACACTTCACATAATGTTGCATTACTCTTCTCAGTAAAACAATTGCGTGAACTATGTTTTTCTAGCAATTTTCAGAGCCTTACTTTTAATCTTAATGTTATCTGACATAAAACTGGTGCGGAAGTAAAATCATATACCGTAATATGAGTTACAAAGCTAGATATTGTTTTTCCAGGTTGACTATTAAGAACGAAAGTTTAAATATGCATGATTTATGATAATAGACACTGTATATGTAAGAAAAGTAGAGAATTAAAAATATTTACTACGTAGGTTAATGGCACTTAAAACCATTACATGCTCTTGGCAACTATATGGTACTTAAGTTATGACCAGTTTTCTTCACCTATGATGTCGAAAACCGTAAGTAATAAAACCATTATTATCAACCTCGTACACAAAATTCATCCCATTCTGAAATGTCTCACCTATAACCACATCTGAATAAATGGGTACCGGGTCATGTGCGATTTCTGTATCAAGACTATATTACTCATGAGTAACTAGTCTTTTATCGTATAACTTCCTACCGTACCTCGTTGTCGATCGAATGGTAAAAAGAACCAGAACTGAAAAATTTATATGCTCAAAAGTTCGAATTGAGTCCCAAAGTAGATATCAAGTACTTTATATTTACTTGTAATGATCATTCCATCACCATTACGGACAACAGAAAGCCTATATGATTGAACATAGTTCCAATTTTATAGTTGATTTCATGAGTCAATGGAAGCTAGACCACCATGGGGAACCTGGAAGCACTGGATGACCATTTCGTCCTATAGTAAGACTCCTCAGCAGTCCGCATCCACAATCCCGCCTCGCGAAATTCAAACCCAGGACCTACCAGCTTCAATTGACTCATGAACTCAACCATAAAATTACTAAAATCTTCACAAAACCCCTTCTGATAATAGTTTTAATTACAAAACAAAATACTCAGATAAAATCAATGAAGGGACGATGAAAGAAGCACCATCCAAAACCTGAAGTGTATAATAAGATGTTCATCTGATATTGATGATTTAAACCGTTTCAATAGCGTGAGCTGATAATTACTTTCGTACATGGAAGAAATATGTATCTTAATAAATCGGTCATAAATATAGCAGCAAATAGTTGTACTTCATGATGATATTATTATATCAGCATCAGTAAAAACCTAACAGTTTTCCTTACATACATATAACACTACGTAACACTAATGGAAATTTCATGTCTTTTTATTCATAATATATCGATATCCAACTACCAACTATTCGGTGTATAATTTAATATTTGAAACAAAAATCTGCAATCATAAGCTTGTCTATCTGAACAGTCCTGTAAAATGTGCTGTAAGACTTAAAGAACTTATAAATCTTCCTAAAATTAAAACAACTTCAAAATCTATAAGACAAAAGAAATGGCCCCTAATATTATGTGAACTAAAATCCGAATGAACGTGTTGACAAATATGACTTGATATATAAACTCAAGTCTCTAGTTTTTTTTGTTAAAAATACTATTAGTAAAGTTTGTAACTACCATCGTAAACGTTCAACATTATTTTGAAATTTCAGGCTGAAATCAAAGCCCCACTTTTTAAATTTTCACATCTTACTACAAACATATCAAGTCGCTTTTACCAAGTTCCAGAAGAGCACAACATAGTACGTTATTGTCTTTACTCAAACAATTCATCTTTTTCTACAGATGATGTAACTGCAAATAACCGGTATACACTAAGAAAGTCTAAAACACTATCAAGATCTTCTTACGTACTCTCATCTATGTTAAATGACAAAGAAAGAATTCCCATGTTCTCAAGCTTCAATTCAATGACAAGATGTAGTTCTGAACTTATGCTAGATTGGCTATCGACACGTAAAGTTACATTTTCCCGCATTCATTTGCCTGAATCAATTTGTATTAGAATAAATACGGCGAGTCATAGAAAAGAGTGTGACAATGATGTTAAATCATACGAAAATATGGGAAACGTTATCGCATCGTGCATAATAAATTCAAATAGTCCACTAAATAAAGCACTAACAGGTTTTCAACATTTTCAACTTAAATTATTCGATCGGTATAAGACCAAAATAATTCCCCGAGAGAAAAAGGATGACGTTTCAGAATTTAATCACAGTGTCTTTCACGAACGTTTGGAAGCTACCATAGGTTTGCTGATATTTTGCAAGGTAAGCTTTATTTGCATAACTCACACAATAGACATTGGCGTTTATTATAGTTGGACAACCACTGAAGTCCTACTAGTACTAAATACTTCTTGTCCACCTTTTTAGTACGAAGTGTTTGTGAACCATCTTATAATCACATCTTTGAGTGATCTCGCAATAAGAAGCACCCACTTATTACTCCCTAATCTTGAATTACTTTTTGGCAAAAATCGTTTTCGAATTACCCCCCTCAATCAAAATTTATCAAGATATTCCCACGAATGTCTTACCATATAAGATTTTTAGTGAGAATTGTACTGATTTTTAACCAAGCTTTAAATGAATCAATAACAGAGAAAAGATAGCTCTGTCAGGAGATTTGTTAATAATGATAACTATGTAGACTTTCAAATATATGAACGACTTTAAGCTTTTATAAAGTCCCGATTTTTCCCCATTTCAGTTAAAAGCGTTTATTAATCTACCGTGAGGATAATGTGGGTCTCTGATTTAAAGGTTTTAGAATCCAACTTGTGAAAATTCAATTGTGCGGCCAAGACCCACTTTGCATGCTTTAGTTGGGACAAACGCAATGTTTGACCCCCATACTATAACAACAACTCAAACCTCGATCAAAACGGTTCCACTCTGTCAATGAATTGCATAATGGTAGATAATATATATAGGACCATTGGTCAAAGACTACTGCGTAAAATGATCCTCCCCATAGGTTATATGACTTTATTATATAATGAGACAGAAAAGATGATCATAGACTTTTATTTATATCTTAAGGGAGTGACTAGGGATAATGATTTAAGGAATATAATTTTCCTCCAAAGTTCGGATTCGTTGTAGTGGTAATTGTATCAAGTAGGATATTGATGTAAGCACTGATGTTCGAACTCACTATTCACCTATCCAAACAACTATAAATCCATATTCCGAAATTAATTTCTGCCAGTTAATTCACATGGCTGAAATTATTTGGAGGAAAAAGTACCAATATTTTTCGTGAACCATGTTGAGATGAGCTTTGCGAAACTAGTTAGTAGTGTGAGTCTTTATTCCTAAAGCTGTTTATCTGGATAAGTTAGCAAGTTATATTTTTTTGTTCATGCTGAAATTCACATGAATTGTCATTGTTTGCTTATGCATAAATTGAACTGTACTTTAAATGCCTTTATTGTATCATATTTAGTTCATTTATTTGATATCCATTTTCAGATAAATATGGATACTTATGTACCGCATTCATTGGGTGATTTGATTGAAACACTAACCAAAAAATATGATACTCGTTTAAGAACTATACCTTCTAACCAACAAACAAATGATAAACAGTGTAGTGCTAACCGTTCAAAAAGTTATCTGTATTTAGATCGACACCAAAGTATTAAGGAGATATCTACATTAAAAAAGTTAATAATCCGTTCAAATTCTTTTACCTATAAAGAATATGGTAAAAACCTACAACAAAATGCCACTTGAATATATATATATATATATATATATATATATATATATATATATATATATGAGAATTATTTTAGCATTAATAAAAAGAGAACTTTTATTGATACCAATAATGTGATGATAATCATACTACTGTTATAAATTCTGGTAGGAACAGATGGTGAATTTTTTTAAAGAGCCTGTCCAATAATCTTTACTTGGTTTTAAAATATATGAACACTCCATCTGTACAATCCAAGAAGATATAGACTTACTTTGTAACACATGATAAATTGGTTATTGTAGTAGTTAAACAATTACTTTCTTTGTGAAAAATATACTTTATTTTACAAATCCTTTTATATTTTAAACTAACAGAAAATATTTACAAACCACACAAAACCATACTGATGACGAGTTCATTTACTTCATGAACATACTCCTCATGTAGTAGATATTTTACTAATTATGTGTTAAAATAGACCACTTGTTGAAATCTTTATGTTAACTCATACTTTTCAAGTGAAATTAATATAAAAATTCTTGATTAAATGTGTTGATAAGTTAACGACTTTTCAGAGGTTACTGTACTGAATTACGAAAGCATCGCATATATAAACCATTTATTAAGAATGGACAGGATAGATTTTGTTTGCACGCGCCATCTAATGGGCAAAATTCGGATGTCCAAATATGAATTACAACTAATGAAATAAAGCCTCCTTTACAAATGAACATAATGAAGCTTGAGATATGTACTACACGTCAAGTAAAATGGTAGTCTATATATGAATGCTTACTTCTAAAGTAAACTGTAATATTATCTACACGGTATATTTATATTAGAACTAATCCACTTTGTATATATCGTTTATTTTCATGGGGTTGTATCCAACTAGCCACTAATTTAAAGGATACAGTGAATCAAAAAAAATGAATCTAGGTAATTGAATGTATACGGAAGATTGAAATGTTCAATAGATAGCTTATTGAAAAAAACAACTAACATACTTTTCTATTATTCAAGATGAAAGTCTACTCATGATTGTAGGATGCATACATTCTATAACAGTCTTATAGTTCGACATACAAAATCAAAATCGAGTCAATGAGGTCTGAGCAGATGGTTTTATGCACTCAGAAACCTAATAAGTACCATTTCACATGAGACATCCGGTGGACATAATTTCCTTTCTGAGTATCACCAAATCAGTAAAATTGGTCTTCCTCTCACGTATAGATTGACTGCATAATTATGTAACTCAACACTACAGTCTATATCTAAAGTTGGTCTACCGAAAAACTAAACAAATCATTGACAAAGAAAACGCCGTATCCTAGCAAGTTTTGCGGCTCATTGAACTGGGACACTATTTTTATAGCAGTGAGACTCATCGCCTTGATAATGTAAAAATCTGTCCATATTACCTGTAGTCTCCAACTACATATTATACATATCTTCAGAACCCTATTTAGGAACTCCATATTTCACTAGACGGAATACGCCAACAGTCAACTATTTGACCATACGAGAGTGATGCTACAAAGACACTAACCATAAGTACATATAACTAACGAATCAACAGTGGCGATAAAACTCCTAAGATAAGTGATGTAATCAACTTGATCAACTACTCCAATAATTACAGTTAGACTGAGCATGGTTGTAGACCAGTCTTAAGGAAAGAGTTTACGCTCGAAGAGAAACTCATTTAGAATATTCGTACCGTTATTTTAAGTGTTTTGAACCCCACATCTTTAGTCTTTACATTAGACGGAGTCGTAACATTTGCGTACTCCAAGTTGGTTTCCCCAGGTACGACGTCAACTAACGGAAGGTTTGACAGCTATTTTTACACAACCATGACGAAGCTTAGAAATGTGGGAGGTGGACGAGCCTGACAGACACCTATGAAGTAACCAATCTACTTGATAGTTTGCCATGAACTACAATCCAACCACAGGTATCCAAGTAAAGACCCTTTAAAGGGATGTAATACTTTGAGCAATACTACCAAAGACTTTTCAATATATACAGTCAAATCCAGCCACCAGGTTAAGAAATACCCCTAGAATCAGACGTTTGTGTGTGTCCTTACTTTCCAAAGTGAGTACTGTAGAGATGCATTCGCCACAAGGTTGAACCATTAGTAATGGTTGCATATTTGAAAGATGAAGTGAGGGAAGGCTGGTAAGAGAAAACTACAGAGAAACAAGACTAATGATAACAGAAATAAAGTTGGTTTCGTAGGTATAGCCATACCATAGCAGGGTAGCTTGTTGGTATTTGGTTACAGACTACCTGGTTGGGGTGCACATGATTACCATAACCAATGGTTAGAGTTTATTTATCTGAACACATAAATATTGGTGCAAAAAGGCACCAAATATTTATGCGTCACACTTCATTATTCGATCTGTGTGAGGACTGGAATACTACCCGAGCGCCCAAACCAACGCAGGTGGTTTCCTTAGGGAGGTACTCCCAAGCCTTTGACCTAAAGGCATCATCCATTAAGCAGTGGAGCAAAGTGAGGAGATACAATCCCATGGTAGCCGGTGACCAACAATAAGTTCATACGCCATTAGCTGCCTCAGGATTCTGGAACCGTTTGTAATGACCCACGTGCATGAACTCTACCCTTAGACGCTAAGCTTCTAAATAATCCTATGGTAATTATATGTACAAATCCATATTTTCATGAGCAGTACTTTTGATGTCCCATTTTTTATATTACCACATATATTGTTAATACTTTTACTACTCTGGGATTTGTCCTGACAACTTTATCTCGCTGCGCTAATGGGACGCAACAACCTGGAAAGATGAATATGTGTGCCAGGTTCTGCGTTGCGTATAAATAACAGTAAGACACTTCCTCTTGGGGAACCTTTAAAAAAACTGGAAGCGTGGTAACATATCCTAATGAATAATTACTTGGAGCTGGTTGCTCAGGGCTGACCTCTAAATGGACTTTCACTAATAATTTCTTAATGTTCCCTAAGTAGCTGTAAATCATACTGGTGAGAGAAAATCTATAAGGTGATGGAGTGGAAAGATAGAAATGCCGGTTATTCACACGAAATATTCTAGCGTCGTCATACCCAGGTATAATTCCAGCTTTCTCTTGTGGAATTTTTTAGCAGGTTTTCATGGTATATCAGGGCCTCAGTTGACAAGTGTTTTTGTCAACAACTCAGTAGTCTTCATGATAGATAAACTATAAAGCCAGGTCACGGTAACGAATGTTGACAAATATAGACAATCCGGAGAGTATTTGAAAAACTTGTTATTCATATCAGTAAACTAAATATTCCGTAATCTAAATAAATCTTTGATGCTTTCTCGTGAAAATAAAACAAAGTTACTAAACTTCTTTATTTTGCTTAAGAACCAATACGAATATTAAGCGTTGTTTCGCAAACAAAAGAATGGGCTTCCTTACACTCATCCTGTCCAACGTTTTAGAACATCCCGCACGTCCACTTCTTCTCATTGAAAGGATTATCTTTAACACGATGAATAAGAGGATCTGATAAGATATTTTGCTGACAATAATTAATTAGGTCTAAAACAGTACGGCTGAACTTTTGCCTTTCACAAGCACAATGGATTCTTAAATCTCGAACTTCTCGTCTTCTGATTTCAATTTCGTATTGCTTGCTTATGGGAGACATCATACAATCTAACAAACCACACGGATTTAGATAAAACGTAACTAGGGATCTGATAACCTAAGGAAAAAAGAAAACGCGTCATCAGTTATTTATGTTTGTGCAAAAGTATCCAGCAATAATGATTAGTTAAAACTTTTCATCACATAATATTTTGTCTATAGTTTCAGGAGTTGTTTAAGTGGGGATAGAGTATTTATTAGTACAAGTCGATTGTTACAATAATCTTTTAACGAGTTTCTGTTTTTAAACAAAAATTTTCTAGGAATCCCTGTCACACAAGTTTTGCTTATAAAGAGGTCGCATTGGTTGCTAAAATAGAATATAAACACTGATTTGTACAATTAACCAGTTAAGATCTCAATAAATGTACGAATATGCTAAATATAACTTACGACCAGTAAAAACGCACAAAAACACATAATTTAACAAGCATTTCAAGCCTACTTATTGGTAATTTTCAAGCATAAAAAGCAAAAACATGTTCACTTGATAATGTTTAGAGGGTTGGGAGTTCTGAACTCATAATTGAAACAGAAGACCGACGACGATACTCGATACCATGAAATCAGAGCAACTAATAGCCACTTAACCATATAAATCTGAAAGCAGGCCTCTGAGGTTGGAGCTACTAACGTTTGAGTTGCCTGATTTATGGATGTGAGAAGCATTCTTCTAGAATCATTGAACCTCAATCAATGATAGTAGCTTGGGTTCCTAGTCACTAACTCGTAGTACCGTAGGTGGACAGTCTGTTCGAATCCTATATTTAAGAGAAAGACCTAGAAACTGTAGGACTGATACAAATCTATAGGTACAACCACGCAACCCGAGTGACTTCATGGAATAATCACGCAATTTATAGAAAACCTGACTATAATGCGGCCGATTGAAGACCCCATGATTATACATAGCAGCGCCATATATCACATGTTTACGTTACATGTGTTTAGTTATGAAGACAGTAGTCTTGTTGCTGGCCACGCGGCTAGCACCATCAGCCAAACACATTCCTTAAGTCGCCAAATTGGCAAATTGAAGGCTCAAAACAATGACTGATGCAAGTGTGGGCCATTTGCTAAACAACTAGCAGCGACGGATTTACTTTAGTTTTAGTCTAGTATTTTTTTATTTTATTTTATTTAAACACGTAAATATTGGTACAAGGAAGCACCAGATAAATATGCACCTCACAAACCTCATTTGATTTGTGTGGGGGCTGTGATACTGCCCAGGTGCCCAAACTGAAGCAGGTGGTATTTTTAGGGGGCCACACCCCGAGCCTTTGACCTGAAGGTCTAGCCCACAAGGCAGTGGTGTATCGTGAGGAGATGCAGTCCCATGGTAGCCGGTGACCAACAATAGGTTCATACACCATTAGTTCCATCAAAATCCTGAAGCCCATGTGCACCATTGGTTTGGAATCAGGGTTTTCCAACTCCCCTAGGTGGACACTCCAAATGCCCTAGTACGGTCGAGAGTGGGGAGAGTCACCTCTCCCTCTCGAAATGCTCTCACATGGCCATGCGAATATATAGCCTCTGCCAGGGAAGTCCTACTCACTGCCCTCTCGTGGCGGGGGTGTTGTTCACAAAAGTGAGAGGACGAAAAGCGAATGTCCGGCGCTTTAACCGGGTTGGTGGATGTGGAGGATCCACCTAGGGGAGTTGGAAAACCCTGATTCCAAACCAATGGTGCACATGAGCTCCAGTATCCTGAAGGAACGAATGGCGTATGAACCAACTGTTGGTCATCGGCTACCATGGGACTGCATCTCCTCACGATGCTCCACTGCCTTGTGGACTAGACCTTTAGGTCAAAGGCTCCGGGTGTGGCCCCCTAAGAAGACCACCTGCTTCAGTTCGGGCACCTGTGCAGTATTACAGCCCTCACACAAATCGAATGAGATTTGTGAGGTGCATATTTATCTGGTGCTTCCTTGTACCAATATTTATGTTTAAATAAAAATAAAAAAATAAAACACTCCACATCCACCAACCCGGTTAAAGCACCGGACATTCGCTTTTCACCCTCTCACTTTCGTGAACAACACCCCTGCCACGAGAAGGCAATGAGTAAGACTTCCCTGGCAGAGGCTATATATTCGCGTGGCCATGTGAGAGCATTTCGAGAGGGAGAGCAGACTCTCCCCATTTTCGGCTGTACCAGGGCATTTGGGGGCGAAGTATGCTGTGCCCGGGATTCGATTCGTGACCCGGTTTAGACTGGTGCTTGGATCCAACGGCTTAAATAACGGAGCTAATGGGCCGCCCTTTTAATCTAGTAACTCGAAACCTTTGGCTTAATTGTGTGCTTGAAAAATCACGTGGAAATGGATCACATGGATAATGAGGACACCAAAAAAGCCCAGAGCTATTTGGTCCGAAAGACACGATACTCATGATTGCATAACGAAATATCGTTAACCTTCCGTCTTAGATGCAGACTACGTTTGCGGAACTTCCTGTCACCAGCGGAAGTTATGTCAAAGGATTCAAAGTAACAAATTAAAACCAGCCCAGTTTTGCAGAATAAAATATAACAAAACATCTGTATGAAATAAGTACACGATCGTTACTAAACCTGTCGAAATATAGTAGGGAAATCCCCAAGGTCTTTGCAAGTAGCGCAAGAACCAATTTCCCTCATATCCAAATGGTTCAAATGGTTCAAATGGTTGAGGACGGAATAGAAGAAGCTTTCGCTTAACGGGCTTCCGTGTCTGATAGCAGTGGATCACCAATACCTCCAGGCAAGAACCTAGGTATATGAACGATAATAGAGGGAAAAAAAGAATTTGGTAAATCATAATAATATGTTATCCTTAGTCCTTAAGAATAAGTCAAGTTTTCTCTTAAAGGACTCCTGGGAAGTCGCTTGGACTAGCTCAGTCGGCAGCGAATTCCAGCACTTGACAACTCTTACGGAGTAGATGTTGTGTCTGCAGTCTGTTCTGCTATGTAGGGTCTCCAATTTCTGGGTGTTACCTCTGAGGTTAGCGTTATGACTAAGCTTAAGAAGTTGTTTAAGGGGATGACCAGAAGTATTAAGGATACTATAAGTCATAAGAAGATCACCTCTAAGACGCCTATACTCTAACGGGTAAAGGTTAAGTGATTGGAGGCGCTCTTCATAAGGTTTGAATTTGAGACCCCGAACTGATTTCGTGGCTCGACGTTGTATACGTTCCAGAGTGACCTTATCCTTTTGGAGGGAGGGAGGAAATACTATGTTTCCGTACTCTAAGTGGGGACGAATAAAACTGTTGAAGATTATGTGGAAGGTTCTACCGTCAAACTGGCCAAAAATGCGCTTCAATGTTACCAGTGCAAGGTTTGCTTGAGAGGCGTTTTTGTCACAGTTCGCATACGATTTCAGGTCGTAGAGTACCAACACTCCTAAATCTTTTTCAACTTGGGAAACTTCTAGAGGTGAGTTACCTAAGTTATAACTATAGTCTGCAACATGTCTCAGATGCACTACCTTGCACTTTGAAGTGTTGAAGGTAAGTCCGTTGTCGTCTGCCCAACTTTGAAGTCGGGTCAGATCCTCTTGAGGAACTAGTATATCATTATGATTACGTATCTCTCTCCAAAGTTTCGCATCATCAGCAAAAAGCAATAAATCAGATGAAACTTGTTGAGGAAGATCGTTAATATAAATCAAGAAGAGAAGAGGTCCTAGTATTGAGCCCTGGTGGACCCCACTAGGACATTCCATAGCCTGAGAGAGAGTGAAGTTAACCCTGACCTTAAAATGTCGGTTTTCCAATATCTGGATAAGGAGAAACGTCCCTTTCATCCTCAATTCCCACATTGAGCTTGGAATTATTATTGATATTATCGTAATCTATGATGGAGGACATACTGACACACATGGAAAATATTAAGCTTTCTATGACAAACACACCACACCATTGGCCTGGAAGTTAATTCCAGAAAAAGCGTGTTCATGCACATCAGGCACGATATTAGTTACCATTATACCATTAATGGTACATCTCTGCCACGCGTTCATGAGCACAAAGACTTAGGAGTAATTATAAGTCACGACTTAAAAACTACTACGCACTGCAATGCGGTTGCTTCCAAAGGCTTTCGCGCGCTATGGTCGCTTCGCAGAGCATTTAAATGCTTTGACGAGGAGATGTTTCGAATTTTATATCCCACCTATGTAAGGCCACACTTAGAATACTGTATCCAAGCAGCTAACCCTTGTCTGATAAAGGATACTAAATCGCTTTAGCGTGTCCAGCGTGTAGGGACAAAATTAGTAAAGGGTCTTTCTAAACTCCCTTACGATGAGCGTTTAAAACGTCTAAATCTTTTCCCCTTATCTTATCGTAGGACGCGAGGTGACCTTATACTGGCATTTCGTATCTTTAATTATGATCTGGTTGTTAATATGTCTTATATTTTTGCTCCCTCCAGCACTAATAATCTCCGGGGTCATAGCAAGAAGGTTCTGAAACCGCGATCTAATAAACTAAAGGTGGGGTCCCGTTTTTCTCATCGAGTGGTCAATGATTGGAACGCTTTACCAGAACAAGTGGTATCAGCACCATCAGTGAAAATTTTCAAAAAGAAGCTGGACCTTCGCTGGAAGAAAATCTGTCAGGATTAACACAGGTTCATCAACCTACCATCCTTATTACTGAAGACTGACTGAAGACCATCATGCTGAGGATGAGTCAAGTGTAAGGCAGTCAATCTTCATAGAAGAAAAATTACTACACAGCCTGGGACATACCTCCACTTATTTACTCAGGATAAATAATTCAAAAATATCTACAACTAGGTAGATAAGTAAGCGAGAACATAACCGCAACTACTGACTAAGATAGACAGATAACCTGGAAACGTGGAGTTTATCCCCATGCCCAAAAACTTTGTATCCAGTAAGAGAAAATCCGTTGGTTTCCACATGTTTCCCCCTGACCAATTAAAAAAGATTTCAGGTCAAGGATTGCCTCGTGATGCAGTTCGTTGATTTCCTTAACGTATGTCAGATCCACTTCCAACGTCTTTTACTAATTTCCTCTTCAGCTGGAGGCTGGTTTGTCCTCTCCCACAGGAGGCTGTTGCTGATAGTATCCGGCCAGTGACTTTTGAGTATTTTGTGTAGACAACCGTTCATAAATACTTGTACCTTCTTGACGATGGACTTAGTAGTTCCCCACGTTGCAGCCCCGTACACTAGAACTGTCTTGACGTTCGTATTCAAGATTCTCACTTTGCAGTTAGTTGACAGTTGTTTTGGGTCCCATATACTCTTCAATTGTGGGAGTGCAGTCCTTGCTTTACCAATCATCGCCTTCACATCTGAATCACATCCTCCTTGTTCATCAATGATGCTTCCCAGGTACGTGAATGTTTCCACATCTTCCAGAGTTTCTCCAATAAGTGTGACTGGGTTGGTGTTCTCCGTGTTGTACTTGAGAATCTTGCTTTTTCCTCTGTGCATGTTGGAGCCTATTGACGCAAAGACTGCTGCTACATTTGTTGTCTTCGTTTGTATTTGTTCGTGTGTATGAGAGAGGAGGGCTAGGTTATCTACGAGGTCGAATTCATCTAAATGATTCTAAAATGTCCACTGTATTCCGTACTTTCTGTTAGATGTCGAAGTCTCCATAATCCAGTAAATCACCAGAAGGAAGAGGAATGGGGAGAATAGACAGCCTTGTCTGATTCCCGTCCCTACTGGAAATGCATCTGTCAGCTGTCCTCCATGCACCACTTTGCACTGTAGTCCATCGTATGAGTTTTGGATAATATTGACAATCTTTTCAGGAACTCCATAGTGTTTCCATAATGTTCTCCTGTCCACACTGTCAAACGCCTTCGCATAATCAATGAAGTTGGTGTGTAGTGACGATTCCACTTAAATGATTGTTCCAAGATGATCCGTAGTATCGCAATTTAGTTTGTGCATGACCGATCCTTACGGAATCCAGCCTGTTGATCTCGAAGTCGGGCGTCTAATGAGTCTTTCATTCGGTTCAGCAACACTCTGTTGAAGACTTTCCCTGGTACTGACAACAAACTGATGCCTCTGTAATTCTCAAATTTGCTCAGATCTCGTTTCGTTAGTATCTTGATGAGGTATCCTTCTTTCCACTCTGTTGCCGCTTGTTCCTCCTTCCAAATCTTCCTGAATAGAAGATAAAGCACCTTTGCAGTTACTTCAATGTCTGACTTCAGTGCTTCAGCTGGTACATTGTCAGGTTCTTCCCGCTTTCCCATTCTTGATTTGTCTGATGTTCATCTTGATTTCTTCGATCGTTGGTGAAGTGACAGACATAGGAAGGTCTGTAGATGCTGCCTCGATATCCGGTGGATTCAATGAGGCTAGTCTATTTAGCAGTTCCTCGAAGTACTGTGCCCATCACTTCCTCTGTTCTTGAATTTCCATAATTGTCTTTCCTTCTTTGTCCCTGACTGGTCTCTCCGAATCACTATATCTACCTGCCAGTTTCTTCGTTGTATCATATAGTTGTTTCATATTCCCTTCCCTTGTATCTTTTTTCGCCGTCGTTGCTAGTTCTCCTATGTATTTCTCCTTGTTCGTTTTAATGCTTTTCTTCACTTCCTTGTTTGCTTCTGCATAGTCCGCTTCTGCCTTAACTTTCTCTGCTCGTGTTCGACTGTTCTTGTTTTTCCTTTCTTCAATCTTGTCCAGAGTTCCCATAGAGACCCATTCCTTATGATGATGCTTTTTTTGACCCAGAACCTCCTGGCATGTTGAAATTAATGTTTCTTTGATCCCTTTCCAGTTGTGCTCCATCGCAGTTCCTTCTCTTAGTAGATCCTGTAAAGCTTGGAACCTTTGTTGAGAGTTATCCTGAATTCGTTGACTTTGTTAGTATCTCGAAGGAAGGTTGTGTTGAACCTTTGTCACGCTGTTCCCCCAGTTAGTTGTCCAGTGTTTCTTTAGCTTCAGTTTCATCTTGGCAACCACAGTCAGGTGATGATCTGAGGCCATGTCAGCTCCTCTCCTGGCTCTCACATCTTTTTTTGGAATTTTTCGTTGATACAAGTATGGTCTATCTGATTCTCTGTGGTGTGGTCCGGCGAGATCCGTGTAGCTTTATGTATGCGTTTGTGTGGAAATATTGTGCGGCCTATGACCGATCTGTTGAATGCACATAGATTTGCAAATCTCTCCCCCATTTTTATTTTTCTCTCCTAGTCCATGTCGTCCCATGATATCTTCATATCCTGTGTTGTTCACTCCGACTTTGGCGTTTAGTTCTCCCATCATAATTGTGGGGTCCTTTCTTAGGTACTTAGCTATAACTGATGCAGCATCTAGTAGAACTGATCTTTATAGTCGTCGTCGCTATTATTTGTGGGTGCATAACATTGAATAACATTCATTGTGATCCCCTCCTTCTTTCTTCTGAATGATGCTTTGATAACTCTGGATTCATGAGATTCCAACCCTACAAGTGCATTTCGTGCTTTCCTGGACAGCATGAGAGCAACTCCTTGAGTGTGTGGAGCACTTTCCTCTTCCTGACCGGAGTATAGCAGCATCTCTCCCGTTCCTAGTCTTTGTTGTCTAGCTTCTGTCCAATAGATTTTGCTGATTCCGAGTACTGCCAAGTTGTATCTCCTCATTTCCATTGCTATTTGACGGGTCTTCCCGGTCACAATTGATTGATCACTGGGTGGTGA